ACTACTTTCCCGATCCCCTCCATTACCCCTTGACACCTCTAAATTACCTAAAATGAGTAATTTCACCCCCTATGAGAACCACTGATCTAATGAATGCATCGATGCGATTGGTGTGTGTTGAAGAAGAAAGAACTTAATTAGGGTACGAATTTATTCAAAAAATTAACAGGCACTATACATAAGTGAACAAGAAAAATCGAATCTCTGCATTGAGCACGATCACCTTCAAAAGCGAATCGCTCATTTTCATACATCACACAACATGAATGCTGATTTGCTGGATTCGGACAATTCGAGAAATTGCACGATTCGGAGATATTTTATGGAATGATTCGATAAGAATACTAACACATTTTTGAGAGAACTTTGCATCTCGTGCGAGTTCTCACTGAGATATTGCCTGCTGATGAGAATTCGGATTAACGGAAAGCAAATAAATGAAGTTCCCAAGCTTCCAATCCTCATTTCATTAATGTCAAATGTGAATATGAAAATGAGCACAAAATGCATGAACAACACTTGAACACCAAATGCTTTTTCTCCTTGTTAGAATTTAGGGAGAGTAACACAGCAATTGAAAAATATGAAGAAAAAAATATTTCAAGAGCAATAAAATTTATCACAAATGTATTTGAAATTGTTGCAAAACATCTACAACTTTAGAGGTATGCTTATAAGGTATGTCCACATGAATATTTTGCGCAGCCAATAGAGCAGCTCCGACTGCTGGAGTTTCATCCAAATTATATAAAGTCACTTTTTTGATGTGATTGCCTCGCTTATCACGGCTGAATACACCTTCTTCGAAACCTGAAAGTCAATTCAATACATCCGCATTCGAGAAGACTTCATCCTTTTACAAGATTTTATCTGTCACGTTCAGAATCGAACGCTTTTTGAACCAAACCAAATGTCGTTAGGAATATTCATTTCACCTCTGACTGTGTCCGTCACAGAGTTTTTAACTCCATCAGAGATCAATTTTGGAATTAGTAATGAGAACTGGGCACATTCCATCAGCAACGATCAAACGCTAACTCAGAAAGCAATAAAATTGAAATTTTTGGAACAATTCATAAACGTAATCGGATATCGAAAACCACTCGTAGACAGTCCAAGATTCGTATTACGATGATAACTAACCATCTTTCAGAAGTGACCAACTTTTGAAGACCGACCCAACCAAAACAACTGGGACATCAAGAAACATCTCCTGGAAAGCGGAGTTTTTTCATCGTTAACGGTATCAACAAGCAGTAAACATTACTCTTCAATTTATTCTGAAGATCTTGACAAAAACCGAACAGAATAAGATGTTAGGCAAGACAGACGTTCTTGCTGAGAAACTTCTCATAAGCAGCATTTAATTTATCTCAGAAATGTTTCAAAAAATCAACTCGACAATGTAAATCACATGAAACGAGCAGTAAAATGCAACGAATAATTTGAATAATTCACAACCTCATCAAAATGACTCGAAATTGCCCGAATATGACTACCTAATATAACACCAGCTTTGTGGAAGACGTGCTTGACGAGAGGGTCATCTGGTGCTTCTGAAAGGAGAGGGAACTCAGTGTGAATCCCGATACAACGATAATCCTCATAAATTGGAGGAAGCAGTCGTAAGAGTTCAAATGCAGTTGGTTTACGGTTCGAGTGGATCAAATGCTGTGTACACAGATCAAATGCAAAAGAAGATACATCAATATGGGATAGTTGATTTGATTCGTTGAATAAATTTTGGGAAAACTGCTGCAAACCTTTAACAAGTTTTCCTGTAAACGAAGCGATATTGGCTTTTTCGAATTTAGCGTAGAGTAAGGTTAACATTTCAATTTTGTCACCCAAATTGAAATGTTCCAAAAGTATCCGTTTCACTGTTTCAGTTGGATATGGCGCTTTCACCAGACCATCGTCATCATCGAATATATATCGAATTACTCTGAATATCGCATTTTCATCTCTCATTGATATGTTCGCAAATTTTACAATTAAAGACTCTTTGATAAGCACTAGACAAATTGGCGATATTCATTTGAAGTGGTGTGAAAGGACGTAATGTTGTAGCTGGGACAGGATAAGAGTGGGCAGGAAACGGGTCATCATGCATTTCAATAGCTTGACTGAAGAGTTTCTACTAAAAGGATATGAAATGACTATGCAAAAATATTGAAGAGAAGTGGACACTTTTAAAGAACTTTTTAGAGGTGATTGAAGAGCACTAGCTATTTGCTATATTAAGTCGAAAATAAATGAGAGTGACGTAGATGAACAACATTCCGCATACCTATTCGCAATCCAAAATCCACTTCCTCCATCACCAATCTGATGACCCCAACCACCAACACCGAACACACGGCCATCAGCTTTCAGAAGACGAGCCGTCGATCCAGTGCCGGCAATCAGTACAACACCGCCTCAATTTTTTTAAACCAATATATTGAACAATCGTTGTTTGCATTCCACGAATGAATACCAAAGCTGTCGAATGACGATAACGACTGATAACCAAAGCTATAGAATGATAAAGCTGCAGCTAACAAGAGCAGAAATCAGTGTGCAGATCATGCTCACAATAAAACAGCACAGATTTGGGTGATACCTTTATGGAACGTAGCCGCAATGGTGACCACTGAATCAGTAGTAAGGAAGAATTGTTTTGCGACGTCACTGTGTTGCTTTTCGAGAATATCAACAAGTTGCCTATTGATTGCTTCATCTTCTGCACCCGATAAACCCATACCCTTAAAAATTTCATTTGCAGTTTCATTCGTTAAATGATATTCGCTTCTTTTCGAATACTTCTTATCCGATGTAATTTCTGATCATCAACTGCTTTTAATTGAAAGCAACAGTCTTCTCTACATTATTGAAATGAATGATTGATAGTGCGATTATAAATTCAACAGGCTTCATAGCAATCGTATTTATCATTTTCATTTATTGCTTTAAACTGACCAAAAGTATGCTTAAATATTTAACAATTCATTTGAGTTAAGCAATGGGAAGGTCGCCCGTAAAAGAAATACGGTTTCATTTGCTAACAAACATCAATAAGAACAAAAACTCGGCAAATGAACATCAACTGAAAATGAAATGAACGTACAACAGCGCCGAGTGGCCCATTGATGTTCAGTTCGCTTTTAATTCCTCTAATCCAAACTGCAACTTCATTCGCAACCGTATCGAACCCCTCCAAATAATAGTTCAAACCTGTATGCGACCATTCACCGTATTTTTTCCCCTTCTTATCCACGATCACCAGCTGTGAATGTGTCGCTCCACTGAATTTTACGCACTCTTACAAATTACCTTATATCATCAGAACAAAATTATGCTATTTTAGTATGAGTATTTGTCGTAACGAATCCAAATATCCACAATCACAGTGGATCAAACCGATTGGTATCAAAATTTCATTTTGTGAAATTAGCAAAGAGAAAAGGTTACGGAGATTTACGGAGGTTACGGAGATCATACGGAGAACATTACAGAGGTTTTTTTGCTGTAGCGATAATAATTGATTGAATTTTTAGTTTTGAAAATCTTTCGGGTTTTCGGCAATTACGGAATTTTTGAAATGCAAAAATCAATTTCATTGGCTTCGGATCGAAACAATTTTTTTGTTCAATTCGTATCACTCATATGCGATTCACATGTGCAGAAATCAAAATGCGTGTATATATTCGAAGAGTTGCATCGCACTCGATCAAAATTTCGCATGAACGTTTGATGAATAATTCATGATACTAATCGTAAGATGGCAATTTCGAAAAAAAAATTATTGATTTCAGAGAAAACATACACACCCTTCAATACCGGCAAAATATGACGTTGAATTCATTGCGCCTGAAAACACAACAGAACTTTATCGAACGTACTCGTCGAGACAATTCAGAATCAACAAATATTCATTTCTATTTTGCGATGTTTCACAGTTGTTCATTAAGAAGATATATGCGTTTTTCAAAAAAGTCTAAAAATGGGATTAACTCAATGGAAGTCTTTCTATGTAATGAATACTATTAGAATCATCAAACAAAAAAATGACCAAAAAAATCGAACCATCAAACAACAACAAAAAATGGCAACAAAATACGACGAAACTCCCAGATCAGCAATGTGCACACGTGAATGTTTCACGATGCTTTCAGGGAAATGCGCTCTGTAGGGAAATTTTTGCTCGATCCCATAAGGAGAATTTGTGAATGAGGAGCATATGACAGGTTGTGGGTGGGTAAATGATTTCGATTGAATCGCATTTTGTTAACTCATGGTTCGTGAATTACTGCTTGTGGCAGTGGAATGAGAAGTAACAATAGAATATGTTTGTATAGGAAGTTGAACATATGTTTGAGTGGAGTGATCGCAAAAACCGGTGTTCTTCTTAATAAATACAATGGATCAATCAAAATTGCGATCGTTGAGTTGGTTTTCATTCGGAATCGTCAGCTATACTCTTGTTTTGACAGAGTTTTAGTGACGTGAAAATCATTTTCGTTCACTCACGAAATCAAAAAAGTAACTGAGCAACAGTCCATTTGGCTGAAGTATTTGTTGTGAATGGAAATGTTGAAACGTACAATGTTTGTTCGAGTAAATAACACCGAGATGTATTGTCTTCCGGTTGATTTGAATCTTTGAAATGCGATCGCAACACAGCGAATTTAATATTAGCAGATCCTCAATACACCAATCACTGCTGTAATTTTAGATTACAATTGTATTTATTGCTGGCACTGTGATTGCATCGAAACTGTTAAAACTTATTGTTAGTGCAATTGAACAGATTTAAAAAGTGGTAACACTAGCGATTTAGTATGAAAATAATGGCGCAATTGGCAATCGCACGATCTTTGTAGACCATAAATTATGATAGTGATCACTGAACATATTGGACGCACCGATTCTCACAACAGAAATTCAGGTTCTTTGACATGACGAAAAAATTGAAAAACGGAAGAAATTCATTTTTTTGAATGCTGAAATATAATTCCAAAAAAATGTGTGTTCCGAACAATTTTGACAAGAAAACTTGATAATCCTAAAGAATTCACGGGAAGCGTAAGCCTTTCGTTATATTGTGGTTGATGGACTTTGCTCAGTGGTGAAACTTTTTGCACACAAAACTTTTATTGATCTATTTTATTTCGAATAGATGTTAAGGTTGAGTTTAAACATTATATTTATAGACATCACATTTGAGAGCAGAGATTTGCTAATTATGAGAAAAAAGTGCTCGTACAACTTCAGATAAACTCTTTCATTTCAGCATTCAACTCGTAATGCTAGCAAATCCTAATTGTACGCACCCATCTGATATGTTCAGTGAATATGAATTTTGACTATACTTCCTTGTAGTCTCACTCTTATCAGTATTAGTTTCGGTGTTTTTGTACAATATCATATGTTGATTGAACGCACCATAACGATCGTAAATGTTATGAGTTCGCGAAAAAATGTACGTAGTGAGAGCCTTTAGGAACCTTGTCTTAAGTGGGAATGATCACAAATGACGTAAAACAAATCGCGTTCATCGAGAGCAAAAGTATTTGTTCAGCAACGAGTGATCGATAATAATAATAATAAATAGTCATTGTTTTAGTGAACGCACTTTTGGTGCTGATGATACACGTAGTTGTGTGAACCGAGAGTGACGTATGAAAGTGATGAGGTGAATAGGAAACGAAACTGTTTCATGTGAGCGTAAGAAGCGAATGCTTGAAAAGGTGTAAAGCAGTTAGAATTATAATGAGTAAGGCTTAGAAGAGGATAATTGAGAGGATGGCCGTCGTGGATGTTATGCAGTCTCGAATACGGCCATATTTCCGAGAAAAACGTATGAGGAAACGCGTGTTGAAAACGTGGACTATGAACAGGCGACTGATATTTATCATCGTTTGCAGTCTAACCAATGAAACACTAAACATCGACCGAATTATGACGAATAATTTCCGCAAACGAATAATAATAATAATAACAATAATGATTTGTCTCTCAAAGCATAAACAAATTGTGCTTCCATGCTGCTAATTTCTGCTAATTCAATTGAATGCTATGTATTTTTGACGACGGCATCGAAACAAGAATAATAAGCAATTGTATTTTTCCACAGCATTGTGGCATATCAAAGAGAGAATTTTGCACAGATTGTACTCATAAAAGGCATATTGAATTGAATGTAATAAAGAAAATTTCGAAACTTTTCACCTCTAACGAATGACAAGATAAGGGCACAGGAGCGTCATCATATGCAATGAATTCACGCACATTTCTAACAATGAGTTTTTTCTATGCAAAGCATTTTGACGTTATTTCATTGAAAGAGAGTGTGTAAAATTGGCAACGTGGTAGTTATCAGTAACAGTAAATGATATTATCAATGATAATAAAAACACTTTTATGACCGTTCACATTGCGATTGTCAGAGAATGTAAGTATGTTATGTCATTAACATGCGACGATATTATAAGGCAAATGAGACAAATGAGATTCAAAATAAACAAATAAATAGAATATTGAAACTAACTCTCGTTCTTCATATGTAAAGTAACAATGAGCTTTCGGGAATTTTTCGAGGATATGAGCGATTGTTGAGATGAGCGATTCGAAGACGGTACCGTCGAAAAACAAATCGGATGCGAGGATGAAATTCAAGTTTCCCAGTCGATCCAATACCTTCTTAACGGATTGCTCCGATTCCCAGTCAATACCCTCAAATCATGGACCGCTGATGGCCGCTTGAAGAAATGATCATAGAATCGTTCATGAAAGCAATGAAATGAAAGCACTGATCGTTTCAAGCTGAATTTAAATCGAAAATGAGAAACCGTAATAATATATGACGATTCTGGAAGATTGTTGCGAGAACAATTTAATTTGAGCAGATTCAATGCCTGAAATTGAGAAAGTGTTCACAAATATTCAGACATTCTAAATTCTTCCAACAAAAGGAGCACAGAAAAATGGCACATAGCGTTTTCATTCTCATTCGGAACGTCGATTCTCGAACAACCATCTAAAGCCTTATTATATTCAATTGTGCAAACTGAAATGGTGTATCAATTAAAAATACGGGATCAAACAATTTAACCGTTTTGTTGAACGAACTTGCGATTCATTGATAATCAATGATTGATTCCATAGAATTTGAATGAATTCAAAAATGAATGAAAGAAATATTTCCTCAAAAACAATGACCTCGTCATAGCGAGGATGGTCTGAGAAGATTACAAATTTAGCACCACACTTCGATGCAACAATTCCCGGAATACCAGTCGCCCCAGCACCAAGCTCTAGAATTGTTGCGTCGTGGAATAGTGGATGATTGGCACTGATGAAATTCGCTGAAAATTAAGCAGTCATAAGAGGTGATCGAGGTGTTTTTTATTGCTGCTGATAACTGTATCACGTTTATCACGAGGTAACTGTCAAGACTACTCATCAATTTACTGCATTATAGATTAGGATGAATGAATAATGATGCTTACAATCGCCATTGCTATTTCATTATCTTCACGAGTATTAACAATATGAACTTAATTGTTGTTGCTGACTGCTTTACCAGTTAACTTTATTGTTATTTAATGTTTTTATTGCTGCTGATAACTGTATCACGATTCTCGTTGCGCTATTCTAGTTACCTCTAATGCTGTGAATGCAATTGCGATTGCAACAAGCAAGCATTGACATAATCTGAAAACAAATCTAACCGAGTAGTTCACTGCACGGCCAAACATGTTTCCAATAGGTGTCACTCATCAAATTCTTACCTTGCGATCGTTTTGATCTCTTCAGTAGGCTTACAACGTCTAATGACTATGTGTGATTATCCCTGAAATTGTTGACAAATATGAAAGTGCTCTCACTAATCCCTGTAGAAGACAATTAGTCGAGGGTTTGAAAGATAGATTGCGAGTATACCGAGGTGCATTGCGATCAGTTTCAAAATCTCGTTCTAGATACGGGAATCGGGGAATTTTGCAACTTCTTAAAACCACCAGATGAATGACTGATAAAGTGTAACCTATGGAATGGGCTTAGTGAATAGAAATGAGCGAACTGAGTATGATGGGTAAAGTCAACCCAAATTACCGTGATAACGTATGATACTGGAGAAAGTGATCGCCTATGAAGTAATGTGTATTATTCGCGTGACATGATTAATGACAAATCAGCGGATAAAATCAAAGATATCGCACTAGACAAAAGTTCGAAAAGAATAGAATTCCACTAATAATCAGACTCAAGAAAATTTCGAGCTTCGTGACTGCTTGGGATCATCCATTAATGAATCCATTACAAAACTCCTCACAACAAAACGAATCTGGAATTCCTTACTGAGTAATAGTCATTGTTGTGCTCTTGGTAAGGCGTCCAAACAAAATATAACTTTAAAACATTATTGAAACTGAATCTAGCGGAAAGAAACTTCTTCAAAATCAACTAACAGCTATCCTACAATTAAAGGAAACATCATTGGATAAATCGATTCACACCTAACCGAATTGCTTAAGTTCACGAAAATTTTTCACAGACTATAAGAATGTCTGCTGCATTCCTAGACTTCGAAGAATTTTGTCATAAAAAACTTGAAAAATGATCAATTAAAAATTGTGGATACGATAATTTGCAGCTCGCGAAAGTTCTTGTTCTCATGCGATACGATTAGTTTGGTAAATGTACAACAAATAATATCTATCAGATCGATCGTTGCTGAGGTCAATTTAACTGGCGACGAGAAATTTGGGACAGGCGACCAGAAATGAGCTGACAAATGAATCAAATGTCGAATCAATGTCTTTTTGATGGAGCTGAATGATTTGATGAATTTACTCAAATACTGACTAGATATCCCATTCGTATATTGTAAATAAACGCGGAATACACTTCATCACGATGATCAAACATGAATTTATGACTCGTTTGAATTTTCAATTGGAGAGAAACAACAAACAAGTAACAACAANACAACAACAACAACAACAATAACCAACAATGACTGATGTGAATTCCGAAGAAAACTTTTCGACAATTCCAGCAGTACATATAACAACTTCTAACAATATAACATATCTCATATTATTAATGGTTTCTAAATATCTTATCACATCTTCTGAATCAAGACCTATCATCAAAAGATTAAAGCAAAAGATTTCTACCAATATGATCTCCTAGAATTACCCAAACTAACGTTCTGTCCTATCTATCACATCTTCCGAATATTCTGAATCAAAACAGATGACAGAGTAGAGAATAAAACAACAGACACATGACAACGTTGAAATAATATCATCAACATGAAAAATGTACAACAACAAATATCACAAACGATAACGAAATAAAGTTCCTCAGCCATTCATTGTATCAGAAAGATGAGTGAATTTTTTAAAGCTGAAGATTCACTCCATCGTTGCAATTGATTCCAATGATCCTCAGCCAAATTGGTGATGATCAGATGGAATTATTCCGACAAACAATTCCAGCATGAGGCATAACAATAAAATTATCAAAGTTCAATTTCAAGCTTTTACTACTTTCGGAGGCGCCCCAACTCTACTTAAGAACATATCTTCAAGAAAGCATTTCGGTTCAACATCGT